GCTCATTTACGTATGATACATTGTCACACTAACTGACAGTATTAATTCTATTGTCCAACAGTAGTACCTTCTTGAGCAAGAAAATGTTGTCTCGCGAATTATTACTCGTCGACGTTACGTAAGATTAACAATAAACACTGTCATTGCAATAATACATTACTCACCAGATAAGTCTCTTTTATTTATGTTCATCTGCCGATCATAAACCAGTATGTGCTGATAGGCATATATTTTTCCCCGTATGCGTTTCCCTTTTCTTCGGTTTGTATGAGGGGCTGTATTCCATGGTATTGTTGATCGATGACCTTGGCCTTTGTCTCTTTCGCTTTCACTGCACAAGGTACCCTCCGTTCGTCCCCTTAACACCTGACCACTGACTGCGTTATCAACACGATTATTACCATAACAATCACGACTATTACCTATTTAATGGTCACAATCTTCTCCTGACAACATCATTTTTTCGCTTCTTTATCTTTCTCTTCTGCTGCAGCTGCTTCTTCGATCGAATTTCTCTGGTCTGATCGATATTGGCCTACTGTGAAAAAGCGGTAGCGAGGTGCGACATAAAACAGTGATGATAATTGTAACAACAAATCAGATGACATAACACAGTCGGCGTATACAGTAGTACAGTATATGTAGCAGCTATGGTTCAAGAGCGTCATTTGTCGCATTACCTTTATTTTTATTTCCTTTATTTTTCCTTGTGGCTACTTCTATCGAGGATTTTACAATTTTTATTTATTTACGTATCAAAACATAACTTTCAAATTAACCAACATAACTATCACATTGACTTTTTCTTTATCTATCCTTATATCTGACATCTTATGCGCACCTAAATACGCGTCCCTAAAGGTACAGAATTTAAAGCCCTCTTTGAGACGGCATGTCTAGTGAAACTGATTACGATCGGATATATTTAAGGGAATAAATATATTACGATCTGATTTAAGAAATATTTTATTAAGTCTTATTTTGAGGCACTGAAATAATATATCTAGTATTTAATTATTTTCAAATAAAAATGAATATTCATATTGCGAGTGGAGGTTTATATTACGAGGTGATTAAATATTTCGATTCGGTAACGGTCGCAATTTTGACAATCGAATACGCCAGCCGAGTGCTTGGAATCTTTATATGTGTTTTGAGGATTTTCGTTGCAGAGGATCGTTGACAACAGTTTTGATGGCAAAATTCTAAGCTCACCATTGATTTAAATAGGCTAAAATAAGTGTTCTTTTGTAGGCATAGCGCTCGTTTTTAGCCATAGGAGTGCACTCAGTTCCTCTTACCTTGAGACATAAAACAATTAACTAGAGCTTTTTCAAGGCATGATCCCTTTTTCCAACAGAATTATTTAGAATGTCGTAAGACAACATTAAAAGTCTATTTACATAATGGTTTCAAGTTTTTTTTTGCATAGTTACCGCTGGTTGTTACCTATCTGTCTATTTAAGGAAAACACGATTGTTCCTTCTTTGTTACATTTTTAACCGTTTCTATTATAAAACTAATTATACTAGAATCAACGCATTCACATACATAAAATAGATATACACACTATATATATAACAGGTATCCAAAGACGCTGTTGTAGACACCTAATATTCAGAAAATAGTGCACAGCAGTACACATCAATGGAATATTGTATAACAGAGGTCGTGGTGATGATGATGAAGATGATCATCTTAACTTTTACTCTGAAACGAAGATAAACAGCTTGCTATGAGAGTAAAATAGCATAAGGTGATCTTTAACATTCAAAACGACCATATCATAAATCGGTCGAATGCTATTAATGGAAATACATAGGCGCATTTGATGCAAGCGCACCTTAGACGCACACGGTCATGACAATAGTGCTATATTACAATGATGCACAAAATTACATCAAAAGCCTTGTAGGCATGACGAAAGGAAATAACGATAACATTCAAGATCTTAGCTTCGAATATGACAAGGCCAACATGAAGGACAAATTAAAATGTTATGTCGAAACCAATTTGTGGATGTGTGAGTCAATAAGTGATTATGGAAGAATGAGCGAATGATAAGTAAATGAGAGGCTGTTTTCATCGAACAAGTGGATGATAAAAGATTAAACGATGGGGCAAGACTGGGAGGGGGATTTCGCTACATGACATATGTACGAAGGACAGGGCACATTCTGAAGCCAATCCAACTATGTGCTAACGAAGTAATCAAACAGCACTGCAACGGGATGCCAACGATAATTTTCTACGGTGATGACGATTTCCTGTGTTCTGGGTCTTCACTACATTACACGAACAGTTTGACGACGATGCTGACGATAACGATATAATTGACAATCTATAAGGTATGCTGAAAAATGAACAGAATGGTGATGACACGAAGTATTCAGTAGTAATAAGTGGTAGCTATTTCGGGCGGTCATTCGGGGCAATGGTAACATTCACAGACCACACAGATATTCGAATCACAATTGCAGCATATTAAAAAATTACCAACAATTTTAGAAATCTACCACTCACTGCTCACAGGCTTCGAAATGTTACCAAGGTATTTGACCGTTTTCGTCGAGGTCAAAATTTGGAGCAGCGAAACATAATCCCGAATAAACATTTTTGTTACATATGCAAAAGCTGGGTGATTTGATAACCAGCCATTTGTTGATGTAGTGCTCTAGTCCCACGCATGCATAGGCCATCCGTTGCTTTGCTCCCATCCTCCGTGGCTTTGCACCTCCTGAATTTTCCACACTTCCTCTTGCCTGTGATGCTTTATAATGGGTAGCGGGATGACCAGCGGTATGAGTTTTGGAGCCTTCTTGAACGCTTTGAATGCCTTTTTAAGCACGATCTTCTTAATGATCTCGTGCTTGGAAGTGGATACCTCAGTAAATAGGAACACCGCAACTCCGATAATAAAAAGGGCCAGTGCGGGACGCATCGTGACACGAGATTTTTCACGTCGTTCCGTTAATAGTAGCCTTTATAGATCCGACTCCAGGCCTTTTTTTGTATTGCGAATAGTTCACGTACATCCGATCTGATGTTGGGATACTCGCCTCTGAAGCCGCCTATATACTGCGCAGTCCTTTCTCCGCCTCCGCCCCCAACCCAACTAGCGCTAAGCCTCCATTTCAGCATCACCCGCAGCATGGGTTTGTACACCCAAGGCACTGCCCTGCTGGCCCTTCGGTGAGCAGACAGCCCCTCATTCGCTTGCTTGCTGACCGTTGTGTCTACTTCGTTTTGGACTGCTGCTGCTATGGATGTTGTTCTCCTCGCTATTGCTAATATTGGTGCCCTTCCTGTTAGCCAACCGCTGGTTCATCCCTACAGGGAGACCCTACAATACACAAAACGACACAGATTGCACGGGACATATCGTACACAACGACAGCAGACAAGAACATCATTGAACCCGCGCTAAAAATAACCGTAACCCCTCCGCTGACGCCACCTTCTCCCTCCAATTGTACATATTAAAATCGCTACTCTCGACGAAGGGATGCCAAAGCTCATGTCAAATAGCCAAATAATATTTACTGACAGACCCGTCCGACGTGTCGGGGGTCAGAGCCAAGATCAAAGCCAAACAGCAACTGAATGCGGAGCCAGCGTACGTACGCAAGGTACTTGTCCTACTACTTGTCTGAACGAATGCCGCCGCCACTATGACTTTTCAACCGATCACTTGGCAGTATGGGCTGCTACAACGAAACGCCAGACTGTATGTAGCAGCGCACAGTGGTGCTGCTGCGTCAGTTCGAAGTTCATTCGGTTCGACAAAAATACAGCGTGTAAACACACGCTACGGAGCTCCATTTAATGGTGCAGGTCAGACTCCTCCGTGCGAACAGATCTGTCGAAGGACGCAATCGCTGCTAACACAGTAAGCGAATCTTAACGCACATAGTAACGAAGTGTTTAGTCCTGTTATATAACTGCTCAACTAATCGTGTACTATGGTATCTTGCTTGTGATTTCGGAATCATTGATACTTATGTGTAGCGTATTTCTGTAACCGGGGCTAATTTCACGAACAAGGAAAAATAGGATACAGAGATTTATGTAGGTACCACAAACCGATATATTTCTGGATTTTGCTGTGTTTACCGAACGATGTCGATGACACTTGACCATAAAATATTTAAAAAAAAAAAATTGTTGCTATTATTTGGGCAATTTCTGCGAGATTCACATACACTTTTCAAACGATTACGTACACCACACAAATCAGTCCACTATCACTCTATACTAACGTAGATTTTCTATAGATGGACCATTAACTTGCAGTAAAAAGAGGTGTGCTACAAATTTAGCCAAGGAAATCAGAAACAGGCTGCCCATGATATTGCGTCTGTTCTTCATGATCATATGGTTTTGCTCTACGTTTCAGCGAACGTGCATACTTCTGCGTCATTATTTATACTATCGACGGTATTGTTGGCCGCGTGAAAAAGTGTCATAAATTTCGACTTATTACTTGCAAATATTCGAGCAATTCCTTACAGTTATATCCCGATCTAACTTTCTTTGTTTAAAATGTCTTGCACGAAGCTGAAAAGATTTGGAAAAAGCGCTTTTTTTTTATTACAAAAATGACACTCTACGGAAGTGAGGACGAACGTTAAGTACACTAACAACTTTCACATCGCCTTTGTTTTTGTAAAGCCTAAACTATGAAATCTTTGTTTCTTTTACAATAGATGTCTTTTGACATCAGCCAAAAACGTTCCTAATACGTAATAGTATTATAAATAAAACTATATTTAGAAACCATGAATCAATCGATTCATCTTCGTTGTCTGTGTCTCAAGTCGACTTCGAATAATACGAGTCCAAAGACCTTGTTTTTTAAAGGTGTTAGAATAATCTGTTAATTAACACAGGTACTAGAGCTGCAATGTAGCGGGCTAATATGATCGACAGCAATCTAAGTAGTAGCTATACTTATGTTAACAGGTTGTAGAAAGGGTGTTTTGTTTGTTGTGTTTTTCCAGCTCGAGAGAATCTTTAGTACTGTCGCTCGTCGCGGGAAGAATATGCGATCTGTCCAAGAAACGGATGTGGTAAGTGAGGCTTGACTTTATTGAAGTAACGAATATGAGCATTAACGCAATTGACCCACCAATTTATATAAAAATTGCTTGAATAGAAGACGCTTGTTGACATATATTGTACCCACTGAATTTTGTAAGTCACCGTCGATCCTTTTAGTCCAGCATTACAACAGATAGAGTTGGCGATGTAGCTACTTCGATTATCTACACAAACCAAGCATGAATAATATCATTGGTTCCGCAAACGTGCCAGATTTGTTGATCGAGACGAAAGATATTTGGTGCAGGCAAATATACGCCCACTACTTAGGAACATATATTTTTTGCAATTTTGGGGTAGCTTTAGTAAGCCAATGAAAATATATGCACTTAATCCGTTTTCATGTATCAAAAATACGCTTAAGCGTGAAATGTCAAGAAAACAAGGTAAGCAAACAAGTCGGGTATTATGCTTTCAATTTTTTTATGTAATGGCTTCTAGGGGGCCGCCAGATGACTTTGTAAACTGCGATCCTTTCCGACGCCTATACCAAAGATACTCAAGTTAAACCTGCTACAATTCATACTTTTGACTACCATTCAGATAAACTAAGGTTAATTATTGTATAGACATTAATCAGAGTAAAAAATGCAGCTGATTTCTAAAAATTAAACTATGTTGGCCAAACATTTACCAAACCGCGCTTTTAGCCCCGATTCTAGCTAACCAAAATATGTTTTGATTGTTGCCTTCAAGTTGGGTTGGATTCCAATTTAATTTACATTATTTTGCCATATTATTGATGTTATTTGGTGTAGGGAATACAAGGTGAAGAAAAGTAAACTCATAGAGGTATAAAATGTAAGTCTACAATCAAGAAAACAGATATTTGCAGCTATAAAAACAAACAAGCTGCAAATTTACTATTTCTTTAAACTAGAATTTTCTCTAACTTATATCCTAATCTACCAACCCTTAAATCAATCAACAGTCAAGAGAAAAGACAAGATAGAAACCTGAAAAGAAATTAGAAAGACTTAAAGACGGGTCAACACGGCGTATTATTTTTTTCTGAGTTGAGCAGTCTCTTCGTCCTGTTTTTAATCCAGATTGGATTTGAGTAACGCTCGTAAAGTACAATGTTTCTGCTTCAAAATGGGTTTAAAAATGGGTTCATAAGGAGCATTTTAGAACGACCAAAAGAAGAATAATGAGCAAATGTTTGAAAGATATTTGTTATATTTTATCTATTAAGCGAGAATGTAATTTTTGTTCTATTTTCATCGATGTGGCACCAATCTATCTGCCTACGAATTAGCATTATTCAGAGAATATGCAACTTTATAAACACACGTATTATGTGTTTGGATCAGAACTTTTAATTTAGCTACTAAAAGGGTTAAACTTGCCATCAGCTCGTTAATTCATGGTGTTAATTTTTGGTTCAGATGTAAGCTCCATCAAAAGGCCTAGAACCTCAAAAATGATTCCATAAAAGGAGATAAACTAAGACCTAGGGCTTGTTTTGCCATGCTTGTTTATATAGCACCCCAAGCTCTTTTCAAAAATAACAAAAATCCGAGACGTTTTTAATGTTTATTTGAATGAGTCTTAAGCGCTTTTTTGTAGGGCAGTAACTAACAGAGTTCAGAACTAGTTAGTGACCACAACGTACCTTCTGTTTTTCTGATTTAGAATGGATACAAATATATGTACATTTTATTAGGTCGACGTTACACGACCTTTTTTTTTGATATTACACATACACTTGCGCTTTTCGAAATCTGGGGTAGGTCAATCGCATACCTTTCTTTGGAATTTTAACGGACGGACTGCACTGAGCCACACTGAATTAGAAAATTTTAATGCTTTACAAACATGAGTTCTAGTTTGGAGAGGTCACGTAAACCTTGCATTCGGCAAGCATTTACTATTAGAAACATCATGATTTGTTGCTTCAAAGCATTCCGGAAGGAAATATTATATTCGAAACTAGACTCCTGCAAAAATGAATAAAGAAGAGTTAAAAATTGTAGTGGTCTACCTACCTAAAAGTGCACTGATCTTAGGACTCAGGTCTGATGCATGTAAAAATAGTATACATGTTTATTTCGGTCGAATTAATGAGATAAAAAAAATTATACGAACGAGTATCGAAAACAGGGACATAGAGTCGCTTGCTTGTCTTCAGTCCCGCATCACAACGGCAACCTCCTCTTACATCAAGTTATGCCTTGTAATGAAAAACAACTCTATGATATTCTCAAACAATTACGTCAACAACTGGACCAGCGCGACATCATTCCAAAGTAATTGTAAAACTTCAATAGCTCACGAAATCTGTCTCGTAATACAGATTCGTCAATTATGGTTCGAACAATCAATGGAGATTATGAAAAAACTTGGCATTAAGTAGCCAGGATTAGTGTCCTAATATATTGATCTGTTTTTGCATATGTTCCAAATCCAAGATGCAGGATTGTTTAACAAGCAGTCTTTGTCGAACAAGTTTGCCTAGCACACACTCTGTCTCGTGAGTTTCTTTTTAGTTTTAGAGAATGCCTAAATGGATCTCTTCCGTATGTATATATTAGTAATAATAGCACCGATCTGTATTTTTACAAATTCATAAATGTAGAAACACCATATAATAAGGATCGTCGCAGAAATTTTTTTTCCCTTTATCATTCTTGTTCTACTTACTTTATAAATAGTAGATCTACTGAAGACGTTGTTTTCTTTTTTTAATTGCTTGCGTCGTTATTCCGTCAAAACTAAAGAGTTTTCTTCCACGTCTAAAATGTTTACATTGTCATTAACTTTTCAGACTACAGACCAGCTTCCGCACCGCTTCCTGCTTTCTGCACCGCTTATAGAATTTTCATATAAAACGCAGGAATTATAAAAATTTTCAAAGTATGAAATGATATATTACGGAAAATGCGTGCATTTTATGTTGCATTGTATTAGTTAGGACTCTCCGTACTATTTAGCTTGTGCACTGACTTTCAAGCTAATGTAGAACATTTATTCGTCCTCTTCTTAATTGATAGCTGATTGTACATCTATTGTTATACCTCATTCACTGTGTTCACTGAAACGAAGTAGTCATTAATATCTAAATATAAAAGAGAGTACCTATTAATATAATAACCTTGGAAAAACCATTAGCTAAGCGTATTGTAAAATTCAGTTTGTCTAATCGTTTACTGGACGAGTATCAGCCAACGATGCTAGAAGTGAAATAAATAGTATTTATTAAGTAGTAGTAGTTTAGGATAGGACAAGTTTTTAATTGTCTATATATGCTTCAAGTCTCGTAACACATTCGGCGGCGTTAATCATAACCCTCTCCCATCTAAAATAATATGACCACTAGGCTATTTGAATAATAGAGAATATACAGTTAAGCCCAATAGCTCTTTTGATAACATAGCATATCTTTGTATGTATGAGCAAGTGCAATTATTTAATAGTTTTTATTCGGCAGAGTTGTATGGCCTTTGGTTATATAATAATGGATGAGTTTATTCAATGCCGATAATAACGATTGAAACTGAAGACGTATTTACCGTTCCTCAATCGTGCAACAAAAATAATAAAAATTTTGAATTGTCGAAAAAATATTGACCGTTTTCTAGTTAGATGGCTCTAAAGTCACATAGTCAGGTAATATGAGTCTTCGGGCATTGGTGTCATTGGAAAGCTGAGATCTTACTGTGGCGTTAGTGCTAAAATTGTTGGAACTTGTATATTCACACTTGAGATAGAGCGCTTTGAAGATGAGTAAAGCTGCTTAAAAAATTCATCAAATTTACAATTTTATTATGATAAAAGGTACAAATGCTGGTCGATCAATTACAAAAAAAAAGATGACAAAATGATTGCGTAAGCTACCGCCACGTTGGTGTCCATGACATCGCTAAGAAACTAAACATTCGCCGTCAAACAACCCTAAACCATTAGAAGAAAGCTGGCTACAGAAAAAGCTTAATTTTTGGGTGCCACACGGATTGACGGAAAAGAATTTACTTGATCGTATTTATATCTGCATTTTATTGAAAGGCTGCAAAGTCAAGCAATATCTGAAACATTTTACCTCAAGTAATGAAAAACAGATCACATGAAACGGTAATGCTCAAATTAAAAAAGAAAAATGAGAAGTGTCTTCCAGGGCTTTTGGAAGAGGCCAGACTGACGCTAAACAAGCTGGTGGTACGCATTTGGTGGGATTGGAAAGGAATGGCGCATTGTGGGTTGCTGGCGTCTGGCAAAACAATTGGACCTCTAGTGCATACGACTAACAAGATTAAAACAAGTTATTAAAAAAATTGACGGGAATTAGTGAGGCATCATCTTTTACGACAACATTCTTATTGTTCTTATTGCTTATTTTATTTATATTGTTAAATTGCATACACCTTTAGTTATCCGACAAAAATTGAAAGAATGTGGATGGGAAATTTTAGTGCATTTGCCGCATGATCCGTATCTTGCACCGTAAACTATCGTGTGTTTCGATCTCTGCAGAATTCCCTCAACGATATGATTTACTTTTAATGGAAATGCAAGAATTATTTGTCACAATTTTTTGGAACCATGAAAGTTCTACAGTGATCGAATTATGGTATTCTTAGAAAAGTAAGAGAAGATCATTGGCAAAGATGGCGCATACTTGGTTTGGTAACATCATTTTAAAATAGTCATTTGCGTACCTAATAATTGTCTATCATCTACTTTAAGATAGAAACTAGATGTAGATGACATTGCGGCGAGATTCATGGCAAGGATGAATTCAAATGCAATCAGTTGCATTTTTATTTTATGTGCCTATTGTAGAATGCAATGGATAAAAAGAAACGGAATGCGAACAGCTGCGTTTTCAAGACGGAACCTATCCTATCGTCTATCGGCTTTTTAAAAAAATTTGAAGCTCCTTATTACCGACTAGGAATTTGAAAGTAAACGGCAAAATTGGCACTAACTCACCCTAAAAAAAATTGAAATTGGGGTCAGTGTTCTATTTATTTTTAACTTGTACCAAAATTTGATGTGCAGCTGTGGATACTACATGGCCTTGCATGTTAAATCACTCCTTTCTCATCTGCAGGGGAAGTTAGATTTAGTATAGTTAAACAGGTTGATTTTTACATGGGAAACGAACCGAATCAGCATTCAGTTTGTCGCCCATGTGGTTATATAAATAATAAAATAAAATAATATAATAAATAATAAAACATAAAATAGAAATATAATAAAATGTAATTAATTGCGCATTATATAGGTCTTGTATCATAAAACAATACGAGTCGTAGTACAAGCTACAAGGTGCAGTCGGTTTCTGTGTATATATATATATATATAGTCAATTTAAAAAAAAGCCCGCTTGTGTCGTAGAGCAGCGTAATGCTGGTTGCTATTAGGGCACCTGTTCATGATCATACACCTATTCGACAGATATTTCACCATTCAATGTCACCTTATATTTGCTTGCACAAAAGATGCAGATTATAATATTCGAGATAATATAGCTGCATAAGAAAACGCAAGAAAACGCATTTCCGGACAATCAGATCTGCACTCAGACGTCTTCTGCTTGCACAAATCGCAACAAATCCTCTATTTAGTATTGCACTAAACGTACGTTCTTATTTTGTTTAACCCACATTTTTTCAGTAAGTTCTCATGATGGTTTTTAGTTCTGTTCGTTTTTTTACATGTCTACATGCATTAATAATCAAGTGTATAGTGTAGTGTCTAAGAAATTTGACAACACGAAAGGCCACTTGTAGAGCAGATAGCCGTCAGAGGCAAAGTTGGTTACGCCGGTAGTGACTCATGATTAACCAGAAATGACGTAAAGAGGAATATGATTACACTGTTTTCTCTAAGCATATAGTGCAGAAACAAGAAATATATTCTATAAATATGGTTGTTATACTGTAACAGGAATGAGTCGAGTTCATTTTGGAAAGAGCTATTGGCTTCTCAGAAGGCCGTAAAATCCAAGTTTCTGACTTTCGACAATCCCGACTGAACTATTTTAACGCAGAAGCGTTTACTACTATTATTCTTAAGACTGATAATAATTGATAAACGAGTGAAATTAAAATATTTGATAAGTCAATCGGATCACTGATCACTATAATCGTCAAAGATGGAACATTCGAACGGGAACGAGTTTAATGCGTTGTCGCCCTCAATATATGAGTTGGAAGGATTGAACACATGCGACGTGCATTCGTTTTGGGAGCATACTAAATCACTGAAGGCAGCTAGTTTCGTAAATAAAACAATGTATGTAGTAAAACAATATAAAACGACGCCGCATGTAGGCGAAGAAGGGGGTTTGCATCGAATTCAGCATACTAGTAGCTTCGTATGAAGATCCAGACGAAGAAAAATCTGGTAACTTTCAATTGCACACATCATCTGACCTTTACGGTGTATGCACAGAGGGCGGTCAGAATCAGCTGGTTAGACGAAGATATTTCTGCATACAGTTTATTTCTGCATGTCTATAACCGAAACAGTCGATTTTCACTCTCTTACTGCCTAGCTCTGCGTAAAGTATTCAGCATCTCAGTCACAAGCAGAGCTGGTTTTAATTTCTCGTCTGACATATTCTTTTTCTTAGCAATTTCGGCCTTTTGACAGATTTTTCTTCTAATTCTAATAAATGGAAATATACAACAGCCAGATGACGTCTTTGATGCTCTGATTGCGTTCGCTTTAACTGTGCCGTCTTTTCAATGCCACTGCGTTTTTTTTTATGAATTGCTCTGCATTGGTGAAGGCGTCCCTTGTGACAGTTTTTAAGTGAGCAGATATGACGTTGCGGACTAGTGTAGAATAGAAACGTTATTAGTTTGGACTCGCTCCGTCACTTGGCGAAGGGGGTATCATTATCAGAGCATTAGCTTAGAGCGCACCAGTAGAAGTAGAACTAGTTTAAAGTAAACTTCTGTTAGTTGGTTTATGTTTGGTTCTCTAAAGACGAGGTAGGAAAATCTTAAACAAATGGACGCTATATAGACGTTGGGCTTACGTTACTATCGCTTTGGTTCTTAACAGCGTCCGAAAAACATACTGGAAATTAGCTCTACTTCCCTAGAACAACTGAATTAGATTGAAAATATTACTGAAAGACTCAAGTTATAATTCCAGGCTTATGTATTGTTCCGTCCTTTGGCTAATGGATATATTTTTGAAATGATTGTGTAAACGATTAACAAAGAAAAAAAAAAAGACGTTGAAGTTTGGATGCACGACAGATGTGATATCAACTTCTCACAATCATTTGCAGTTGGGAGTCTAAAATCTCTATTTTTTAATCACGAAATAGTTGGTTCTTGGTTGTTCTTTTTTCCATTGGGGATTCTCAAGATTAATATCGCGGACGCATAATTTAATATTTCTGAGAGGAAGGTAATCTCATATGAGTTTTAGCAGTAGTTTTGTTATTTTTCATGCGCACTACACGGCAACAATAAGGTAGTCTTTCGCAACCTGTTTTTGTCCGTAGTTGATCCTAATGTAAACATTTTTTCTTCTAAGTGGATGAAATATGTTGAGCGTAATACACATTCGTTCTTTAAAGTATCACCAGCTACGCAAACACTTATCTTCCTTAACCTTTTTTCTATCGTCCACTAATTGATTAAAGAAGCTTTTAAGTAATATAGACATAAATTTAAGGATCATTTTTCGGGTATTTCAGAATGAGCTGTCAGCGGCCGCAGGCCATGTGAATACTACATTGCTTGTTCATCTGTTCGGGCGAAAGGGCAAGGAAACGCTCTCATTTGAAGACTTCTTTCGGTTTGTTGTTAACGTTGATATGTTATATGAGCTATTCATTCATACATATTAGTGCAGCAGTCCCTTGACCCACATAGATATATATATATATATACACACATATATATATAATGAGAGAGAGCAAATGAGAGTGAATACATTCAAATTGTCAAGGGACTGCAGTTCCACTGTGTATATTAACTCTTGTAAGAATAAGTTAAAACGTTTAGCTTAATTATCGCATTACTTAATACAATACAGATGCTCATGTTGCTTAGCTCGGCTCAACAATTTAATTCGGAATTTGTATCGATAAACGTATAGGTACAGGGAGTGAATAAAATTTTCCGATTGTGTAGAATATCCTCAAATTAATACAATTCGACCTCCGCCGGGCGTTTCTAAGTGCAAAGTTGAGAGCCAATGATTCGCCACGTAAAGAATTTAACTAAAATTTTGATCGTACTAAATACTAAGTAGCGATCATATTTTTTAGCGAAAATAGCTGTAATATAAAAGAAGCCATACAACATATGTAGAATTCCGTGGTATTGTAATGTATTATGCATTGGTATTTACAGATTTATGGAGAACCTGCAGTCTGAGGTGTTGGAATTGGAATTCATCGAGTATTCTAAGGGAAAGGCTATCATTAGCGAAGTTGATTTTGCACGTATCTTATTGAGGTACGTGACATAACAGTTTGCTTCTTAGTATCGACAAGCTTATTTAAAAAAAAAACAGAAATTTTGTACCCATGCCCATGGTCTACTAATGATTTCCGCACAACGTCTTTTATTTAGATCAAGTCTATTGTTCAGCTCTTGGCCACTAGTGAGCAAACAGAACACCAGCCATGTATCGATAACATGTCTTGGCAATTATAACGTATCTCCTTGAGCGGCTTTGTTTAATTTATATAAGCCATATCTATATATGCCTATGATGTATTTACAATGGCCTTATAGGTAATAACCTTTTTGTTTTATATATTCTTCTTCTTCTCTCTTAGTTCTTTTTTACTGAAACTCAATTTTTTTCACTGTGCAAATATTCGAAGTCACAAGGCTACCAAAAATGACTCTCGACAGATGCGGCGTGCAGAACGAGGATTCTATAGCAGAGAGTACTACTCAGAAATGATCTGATACGCCCTTAGGCATAGAGTCCTCACTTTATACGAATTAAATACTCTGGGTGACAAAAAAAGAGCTTTCCAATAATATATAAAACTTGACGGTTTACCTCGGTTATACACTTCATTTCGGTGTGCAAAATTGGTCTCTCGGATAAACCCTAAAGACAGTATTTCGGCCCGTGCATCACAACTCGGATAGCCATCTCGACAAATGGGAAAATCAAACCGGCGGACAACACAACGTCATCAGTGACCAGACGAGGCAAAGAAGTCGTCCACGTTTGACGACTTAAGGCGTTTAGCAAACAAGAGAGGATAACCGATACGGCTTAGAGCAAGCTCATTTTGAGACTATTTCGCCTCATTGAGCGCCGATCTTCACACACCGTCTTATATAAAGTGCAGGCGGCCAGCCAACAAGGTAGCGGCAAAACCTTTCCCCCATGCCTTGCCACAGCTTACGTGCACTTGCGAGCGAGTTCCAGAAACACGGTGCGTGCGTTGTAGTAAGTGGGCGATTAATCACAACCTACATCCACCTTCTAGTTAAAGCAAAAAAGTTACCTAACTTCTAAACGTGCCTTCATCAAAGGGGTGCGCAGTGACTATGCGGGCTATAGTTCCAGACAGCTTTTCTAGTGTGAGAAAAATTGTGTTCTCCCCGCTGCAATACACTCGGTAACAGCATGCCATTCGAAAAAATTTTGGACCGACCTAGTCTCAGATAAAATTTTGTGATTTCCACTGAACGAAAGCATTATTCGGTAGCACAAATAAAGATATTCCAATGCTACAGTACTTTTTTGTTGTTAAGCTGTTACAAACACGAATACCTCTGTGTGTTCTGTGATTATGGCCTAAAACGAAATTCATGTCCTCATTTGAAAATTTCTTCGGTCAATAATTAATACCGACATAAAAAATAGGTTGATATAACAATAACATGTGCTCGTCTTTCCTGACCGAAGGCGGATTTGCATCTCTGCCTAAAAATATGTCTTTGCCCAGTACGATGGTAAAAAGTGATGCTTCCAAACTATGTACATTTATGGGAAGTTCCTGTGATAGAGTAAAACTTGAAATGATTCTACATTCTACGCTCGATCTCGACTCAGTACATCAGCTTCAAAGTTCTCGGATTATTGTTGTGAATCTAACAGACACTTTATAATCATTGGCTATACCACTGTTGCATCTCTCGACATTTATGCCTACGTACGAGCACAGTTCACATTGATTTGAGAGTTCAATCGAGCATCGTTCAGGTTATGTCAGTGGGCTCAAGATTTAGGTAGCTTCCGAAAGTACCAAAGTTGGATGTAAATGTGGGGCTGCTAATATCCCAAACAAGCTGTTAAAAGATTAAGTGCCAGCATTTGCTCGTCTTCTAACCACCATAGCCAGTTTATCCATTGACGCGAGCTTTTTGCCTACAACATGGAACGACGCAACTTTTCTCTCTTTCTTCAAAAATAAAAGAAAACGTATTCGGGCTGCTAAAACTCATCTAATATTTCTGATTAACTGTCTGTATAAGGTTCCTGAAAAATGAGAGATTAACTAGCTGTACAAACATTTTCGATATGCTTGATTTTTCTCAACTAGTCAATACCTTCTTTCCAAGTTTCGATCGACAAAACTATTATAAATAAAGATCAACATATCTGTCTGTTTTTATTTTTCAATGTTGTGATTATTTTCAACCACTTAAGTCAATTGATCGTTTTGTAAAGGTTAGAATGGTCTGATACACAGCAATAACTATATCTCTCCGGAAAAAGGTAGGCAGTTAAAATTGGTCATATTGATGTTATGACAAACATTTCAAGGTTCGGTTCTCATACCCTGCATGACCACCATCTTCGCAAATTGCATTCTGTTTAAAATCTCGGCAAGTGTTACGCCATCGATGATACTTCTATACACTCCCGTATTGACCCTACTAGAACAAAATAATACGCGGATAGCTCTCATACATGTTAAGATGCCACTGAGGTTTTTAAAAAGTAAAGCTATTGTTGTCGTTAGTTATGTAGTCTTAAGTTTTATTGTCATTGTTAATGCAATAGGACTCGTACTGTTCTCTTCACCTTAAGGGATTATTGATTTATAATACATTACACTTGGTAGGCAATAGCTTATATTGCCTTGGGCCATTAAAAATAATTGAATATACATCTTTAATCGACAAGTAAATGGCACGCTCATTTAACAGCAAGGCGCTTAAATTCTGTGCTATTATAGAGGCACTGAGGTTATTTAGAAAAATTTGCATACGAAGTTAAGGTCTCCTTCCTGTTTACGAAACGCTGTTGCTTCCATTGCTGTCATGCACTTTCAAAATGAGGAAGTGGCTATTTGGGAGTATATCGCAGCACTCAAGTTATCCTGAACGATTGGCAGGGTGTCACTGCAGATGGCATCTTTATTATGTGTGGATTCAGTATGCATCCTGCTTAACTTGCTTTCAAGATGTTATAGGTATGATTTTGCTGGGTATCACTTTCCGCTTACTGCCGTCATGAGCCACCCTAACGGTCACGTTACCAGATTAGAAATTTCTGCTTTTATTGCCAATGAATCCGATAAACATGATCGCGCTTGCTGTTTGGTTTCTCAAATAAATAGAAGGTTCTGAACAATGCAGATAAATTGTACAAAAAAAAAGTACAAACATATTTATTGTAATTCATAATCGTGATGGCATCACAAGATGGTGATTATGGTATAAAATGCTTTGTGTAATATGACACTTTTTTATAAGCATTTTGCGTTAAAATTTTAGCGTTATCAAACGGGCAGTTCTATGAATAACCCAGAGTTTTCATTGTATTTTCCTGAGCTGCAGGCCATAAAAACTGTAGATACTTTAGATGACAAGACACGAGTGTGCTTTCCTCCGTATAAATATATTGAAGGGTCAGATTGAGAGCATTGAGCTTTCGAAGGAGCGGATAAAAATATATTAGTAGTTTTGGTAGGCATTTGCCTTTTGTTCCACTTTGTTGCAGTCCAGATAAATAAGAGTGCAGCCATGACTCCGAGATAGTTCTATTATATTTTATCTGTCTAAATCGTTGTTTGGCGAACATCGAAACTTCGAAAACGATCCATTACGCTCAAAATCTTTCAGCGTTATGTTTGATGCCGTTGAAATCAAAATTAGGCGCTTAGGGGTGGTGTTTTAGACAAGATAAAACAGTGATGTGCTTAATTCAAGTCCCGTCGCGGCGCATATTTAGTCGACATAAGTGACGTTTATATATATATATATATGCCACATTTATTTGACTGAAATAAATACCCTAGTATTGCTAGAAAGGGAATTTCTAACGTGTAAATAAATTTGATTAAACGATCAAGATAAAAATAAATTAATGTTGGTCAATGGAATAAGGAGAATATGCTGCTATAGTAAGCATTTCCACATATTTTGGTATTAGTATGGTTATAATTAAAGTGTGGCATTTGGCATCAAATTTCGCAAACAACGTTTGTCCGCAGACCATCAAAAAAATTCGGCTGTAATCTTTTTAGATACACATACTTGGACTCTACTGGATACGAAGCTGTTTTGGAACGTCTTCAGGAACGCATTCCCGAGACCCGAGGAATCTCATTTGAACAGTTCAAAGCGTTTTGTCAATTTCTTAATAACCTCGAAGACTTCGCCATCACCATGCGGCTATTCACCTTTGCAAATCAACCTATCTCAGAAGGTAGGTGTCTGAAAACACCCAAAATACATTTCGAGTTACCGGCATTCAATTAACGTCGTACTACTGTGTTACCCCTTTTGTTAAGAAAAGTATCGGATTGTATTATGCGCCCCAATTTCTTTTGACTCCTTTGAATTTAATCGCTCCCATAATCGCAAAATGATAATACATTGTGTTATCATTATGTGTGTTTTATTTGTAAGCATGTCAAAGTCTATACGTTTATTTAAAAAAAAAAAAACTTGAATGGACTTCAATAAAGGCTTTTCTGTCGTTAATAATCATCAGTAATCAAACTGATGAATCACTGATGAGCACTGCAGACAAATTATCTTGAGTGCCACCAAAAGAATATCATTTGTATTAACGATTTATAGAATCCTTACAATTAGGCAAATCAAAACTAATGTAGCCGTGGAAACTATACCGATTGCCAAGAATCAAACATCCATAAGTAAATGAAATTAAAAATTTTAATCAAAGATGGGTTGTCTGAGAGGTGGTATGTTACAGTGAGTACAAAACGGAACCTAAGTATTTTATGAATACCAATTTGAAAAATTTAAAGTACGATGATGAAATCATGAAAAAAGTAGCCTATTGGTTATATTCTTATAGAGACTATCTTCTATTTATGCTTTCTAAGTGATGCCTCTTTTTTAGCGATTTAGCAATGACAATGAAATTACATTATAAACACTAATTGTAAATATCTAGACGTGATTCGTTATTATAGCAACAAAAACATAATATAATAGAGCTTTTGGCATATGTAGCCTAAATCATTCATGTAATATGTATATTATATAACGTCATTGACCTAAAATAGTTCTAAAGCTTTCCGCGACAATAGGGCAGTAAATAAAGCCCCTCCGACACCTTGTTGGAAAGGCTCAAAAGATGCATTCCACTTTTTGGATTAAGTTAATTGATTTAAAAGATACCAAAACCTTAGGTAGAGTTTCGTTTTCTTTTTTCGTCTTCTTACACCTTTTAAACAATTTTGAAATGAAAAATTAAAATTAATAAAAATGAGAAATTAGAAAGCGATTGGAAACCTTTGTAACTCTCTAGCGTTTTAAATGATCCCCCAAGAATGTATACTATCACAAAATAATTGGGAACATGGTAACAGGCCGTAGATACAAATCAGACTATTATAACACGATAAGATTATTATCCGAAAGGATATGAGGGTTCAATAAAGAAAACATTGTAAATATAGTCGATGACGAAACAAACAATCAGTGAAGAGTATTTAATGGCCGTTAATATAAATATTCGTTTCTAGACATTTCAAATTTTTTTAAATAAAAAAATGTATCGATGAATGAATTCGAATTACAGATCCAGCAAGCTTTTTTAATCTTGATCATATGTAAAATTTATTGAAAGATTAAACATGGTCTAGATAACCGTAATAATGAGCTCCAGAAGTGTTATGAGGTAAATGAACTTTTCAAAGAGCTAATTTACGGTACAAAATTTTCCAAAGGTGTACATATCATTTTTTTTCAACTTAATATTAACAATTTAATCGACGAAGCTTGATTGTCTCTTTAGTTCCTTACTTTCTCTTATGTACACTTCATTTGCTATAAAGTTAACGTCTAATCCTTGAACTGGTCGTGTACCCTCTTCCCTATCTACAATTTGAAAGCAGAATTCCAAGATCGTTTACGATATACCGAATGACATTAGTATGGTAAAAATATATATTACGTAAGGATCACGGTGTCGATAATACGCAGTCTCTTTATTCCGCGCCGCGTTTATGTCATCCCTATATATCCCAAGAACATTATCTCGAATAGCGTCATTTATGCGGTTCCGCACTATTGCTTATAACAGCAATAATAATAGGAAACGTTTTAGGAGTTTTTCTGTTGAACACAACAACATTGCAAACGATTGTAATACAGGACATCTAACATTATAAAATTAACTTGGTAATCGCATTTTTCAGATGCCTTTTCGTTATACAATTTATGTCGCGCATATGCGACAAAATGTATCTTAGAATGGCATCATTGACCCAGTAATACAATATGGTGACACCGTCACACCAGAAACTGTGTATATAGTATTTCCAACTGCAACTAAAAAAAATCAATAAAAACAAACAAAAAAATAGGAAGTGAACTACTAGTGTGCAGCTGCTCAAAACATCTCATACTATATGTTGAGTAGAAGATGTTCTTCAAGCAGACAAAATAAAAAAGAAAAAAACTTCAACGGAACCGAAGCTGCACGTCGATTGACTAATGAACGTATTAAAATGTACCAGATTATAAAAGCAAATTTTTTTTTGGTGGCCGCCAATAACAAAAGCAAAAGACAAGGATATCGAGATGTGACTCATAGCATTTCGAGCACTGGTGTCGAACTTTTATCTTGACTCCTCCGTCTAAAGGGCTTCCTACAAACCCAACACTATGTACGATTCCAAGGAACTTCCCTCCAAACAGTTTGTTTGCAGCGCTTACTGTGTTGCTTGTCTGTCCATGTTTATTATTATACAGCACTATTGCGTAAGAGCTTGTTCAAAATTTATTCACGCGTGTGGTACATACTTCAGTATATATGCAGCAGTACCAATAGTATATGAACCTTCAAATCTATGCTTTGTTCGTAACAAAACGAAACACCCATCGAATGGTAAGTTTCGGGTCTTTGCTGCCGAGAGGTCGAATATCAACCACTAGCATCTGCTCACGCTGGCTAGCAGCAGCGGCGGCACACCGCCCTCACCGTCACCTGCAGTTGGACTTGTCATGGTCATTTTTATTTTGTTTCGGTGCTGGCAGCAACGCTTTGGATTAGTAAAAAGTATGCAGTCCAAACGATTTAAGTTGTAATTGAACCAAGATAATTATTTGTTATTTTTTATGATTTTTATTATCAATTACATTGTTCGACTTTTTCATTGAAAAACTACTGGACAATCGTTTTGAAGTACGAAATATTGATGATGTTAAAAACTGATTCAATCTAAATATAAATAAATTTATTCACAAAGAATATTATTGTAACATTAGAAAAATTGACTTTTACAAGTAAGCACACCACATTGAAAAATGCAAAAACTATCGTTTGCAAACAACCATTGCGTCTTTCGACATAAGAATCGCTTCAAGAGTTTACTATGTAATAGAACTGATATGGTAGATTTTGACAGAACCAAACATGGCTGCAATTGATAAATGAAAGCAGCTTATTTGATGCCTCTGATTCTACGGCGGTTAACCGAAAATCGCATTGGGTATCTACGTCCCTATTTTGATAGGATTCAAGAACTGATTTGCATTGGTTGAAATGGACACTTACCAAAAAATCATCAGAGCACCAAAACGAGATGACATAACTAGGTTCTGATATTTGTAAGCTGAGAAGAAGTCCATCGAAACAAACGTGTTTTGGTAATAAAATTCGCCGATAAGATATTTCACAGAAAAATCTACCGAACAAGATTCTTTGTATGTATCCACAAAAGGTATTAGGTTGTTCTGCAAGAAAAATGCATGCGCTATAATTCGAATGGACCTTTTTTCACAAGTGTACCAGCACACTACCAAAAGAGCTTATGAGATGTCTTCCGAAATATGGATAAGGAAATCTTATAAAATACGCTGCTCATTGTCCTAAAGCTAACGCCGATGGACTTTTTTTATGGGGATACTTCAAAGGTAACATCTATGCCACTACCGACAACACTGGAATATATAAAAGGCTAAACTGAGCTTGCGAATTAATAACTCACATTGGAGCGGTATTAATTTTAAACATCTGCTTGTGCATTTTATGTAGATTATTTTGAAGTTTAAGTATGAATTATATAAAAATAAAAAATAAATCATTCAAACTATGTCTACATTTTGTAGGATGCCCTATGTATATATATATAACTTTTAACGAATCGACAACGTACGATGTCGTAAATGCGGTGACAGAAAAATTAAGAACAGCAGAAAATTGACGACAGCAAAAGAACGCTGCAGAGTGAAAGGATAATCTACGGATGTTTTTTTTTCTGATTTTGCAAATCCTTTTGTTTCGATCGAAACTTTTGCTATGTTACTGGGCCGTACCATGTTGCTAATCATCCACAAATACCTCAGTCACGCATCGCCTGGTATAAAAGCAAAAGAGATGCACCGCCCTCAATTTTTTTCTGACCAAATAATGTCAATACAAAAATGAATTACAAAAATAATTGTTTACTTGCCCACAATCCATAGGTTGCTCCTATTAAAAGCAAAAATCTAATGTTCCAGTTTTTACTGTGGTGTCTAGTAGAAGGGACATGCCTACATACTTTTTCAATAAGGTGAACTCACAAATAAGGAAGTTCAGCTGCGTGTTCTATGAACTATGGCGCAACTGCAAATATCTGGAGTGTCGGAAGGAGGACCGCACGTCTTTCAGCCTGATATTTAGCCGCAACGGATTAATGCAGGGTTGGATGCTTGAAAATACGAGCATGTTTTAGAATGAGCATGCATAGCCGGTCAACAGTCCAGATTTGAACTCGCTAGAGTTGAATGTGGAGTGATATTAGCGAAAGTCCACATAATTCCCGGGTGACAATGTCAACTCACTCACTCACGCCAAGCAAATATTTAACACGAGCGGTTTAGGTTCTAAACTTAAAATGTAGTCGGGGTTGGTTGTTATGTTGAATACACATGCTTGGAATGTGACTTCTAGCACATGCAAAAAAAGCAGTTCACTTCACGATGTACACTTCTGTTAAATATATATTATTGTATAGAGTTTTAAAAACAACTCGTGAAAAACGTCCAGTTGAAAATGTCACACCATGCATACATATAAAAAAAAAATGAAACCTCCTAAGGTGAATATCCTTTACACCTTTCTAGTATAGTATTTTGCTGATTTCGAATGCACAAAACTCAAGCCTAAAGAAATAGTAACTATATTTTAACTGAAATATACCACAATGCCCTTTCCTGGATCTATCGCGGGAATAAAAGTAATCTGAAGTGACAGAGCAAATAAGAAAATATATATAACCTATACTCATCGCCCATTTCATTGCTATTTGTGTTATTGGAAGAATTGTGCTGGATAAAATTACTTTAATTGGATAAAGCCCTTGCTCGTTTTTCGCTTGGCTGTTGTTTCAAATGTAGAGATAATTTAAAGATCAACAACAGTAGTACAATAATGAGGTTCTGCGGACAATAGTGAGTCAAACCTCATGTGGGTTTGAAATGAATGCTTTAAAATATCAGGAAAAGTTGTTATAGATTTAAATAGGAGAGCTCGACTTAACCTTCGACTATATAGGGTATAATATAGTGGCCAAGTGGCTTTCACCACTTAGTATACAGCATCCCGTTGACACTAAAGTACTAGATGTATTATACAATATCCGCCTGCCTTTATCAATGGACACCCATTAAGTTCATTCACTTTTTTGTTCATATCTCGTAAGTACTTTACACAGCGTATACATAGCGGACGCTGCTCAACAGTATTCTGTTACTTTTTCCAAACTAAGTTTAGGGAATTCAGACTTGCTCAGCGTAGACCCTAATTCTAAACATTAGCTTGTTGTCTTATTACTGCGTTACAGCTACCCTTTTGTCCACTGCAGTTTTAGATAAACCGACTATTGCAGTTTATCCGTTACTTCATTGCATTACCTACTGCCTCGATTTAGCAATAATTCGGTTATTTCTTTTTTGTTGTTAAGTTTCTATGATTCACGTATGCCATTATTGCGTCGTAACCTTCCAGTGGGCTTGTAAAACCAATTATCTCATGCTCTCATTGGCATTCATAATTTAAGGACACTGAGTCTGCTTTATTTATAAAGTATTTTTTAAAGCACTTTATTTATTAAGAAAAAAAAACATTTCAAAAAGCACAATGTTTGTCTTATATTTCTGTCAGCTTTTAATGACTAAGTTCCTTGTCATTTAAACCACAAGCTTACGGCATCTTGACCGGGAGCTTACCCGTCTGAGCCATGGTGAAGGCCGCGATGAGTAGTCTAACACAGCAGCAAGAATATCTTTTATTTAGTTAAGCTGTTTTTCGTTTGTTCATCCAGCTCTATAGAAGTTTGGTCCTTCAGTTGGCTGGGTACAACTTAATAAGATAAAAATCAAGAAAAAAAACTCATAAATTTCTCATGACCACATTGTACCTATTAGTTAGTCATTCTCGTGATTATGTCATTACAGGCGACAACTTAACAGCTGTAAAAGAGTAGTTACTAAGTTTCCCTTTCCGACAATTCTCTTGGTTATTTCTTATGACTTTATGTAAATACATACACTCAAACGCAGTGCCCATGTAGATCTGGTATTCTTTACGAAAACTACAACCTTACGCAGCTACCAGTATCGCCCAGAAACAACTGAATTTACAAAACAAATATTACCTGATTCTGTGCGCTCAATTCCTGCTATCGTATGTCAAAAACACAATTATGCGTGCGCGAAAACCTGCTAACGTCCTATAGACGCGACACTAATATTTGAAGGTCGTGCAGTTGTAAATGGGTCACGCCATTTTAGTATCCAATATGCAGAGACGGCTTTTTCTATTGTAAATGTAAACGTTGCATATTCACTCACCCGAACCGGAATATTTACGTGATCATTTTTATATTCGTTCCAAATCTTTCTTTGCTTCTTGGCGAAAATCTCTAACTTTATCTAAAATGTAATTATTTTAGATAATTTAAAGATTGGAACGAATGTGAAAACGATTATATAAATCTTCCGGTTGAGGTGAACGAAAATGTATCACCAAACTTTGCTCATTTAGCCACTTGTGACGAGCATTGTCCGATAATAAACGTATACTAGTCATATAACCAGTATTAGTAGTAATAACCATCATCATATTGATGCGGATGTTGATAATTGCGATTTAATATGATTACAAAGTACTAAAGGCCGCTCTGCTAATTGACCTTAGAGCCGACAATATCTGTAACTGTGGACATTTAGGGTAACGGCACAATAAGTATAACACGTTCACCGCTGATGGTTTCTTAAGCAGACGTGTAATAAGCGCTGGATTGTACAGTTTTCTAGCAAATTTAGAATGCACATACGCCCTCCTTTGTAGACTTTTGTCAAAGAAGGCGTTATCATAATGTATGTATATATTTCTTTTTTGTGTGATCTATTTGCATTTTTGCGTAAATAGAATATATCTGCTATCAAATGAAAAAAGTGGGTGTACTTAAATTCTGTGAATGTTAATTTCATTACTGTTATTCACATACGTGACATATAAGTATAGGTTTAGATTCATCCGACTCAGTTACCAGACGAAACGACTAATGTGCTATTCTTTCTATATGTATTAGATATAACGTAAGCTGTACGGTATATTCGTAAAAAATCCCCTTGATTACAAGAATAGAGGTGTCGAAAAATTTAAATACGGCAAGAATTAGACGTAGCTTTTTTTTTACTAATTGCCAAAAAATATCGGACATCTTACACGTAAACTGTTAAAGTAAAATACGCATGATTTTAATTTTAAGTCACTGAAATCCAGTGTCTACTAAATTTGCTTACATTCCACTTACGGATGGTGCATATAATTAATTAAAAGCTTAGCATAAAGGTTAGAAAATGAATGTGAAGTGTAGGATATCGCATCGCAGGTAACCTCTAATCTCATGTAAATTGCAGTACCATTAAAAAATTCTATATGTGTGAAAGTATTTATATTGTGGAATCTTCATATAGAAATAACATAAAATCCATTTCAATCTAGCCCCTAACGCGTATGTCTTATATAATTTTTATGAGAAATTTAGGGCTTTTTACTATTTATAAAATTATTCTGTGCAAATTTTTCACTATAATACCTATATGAAATGTCATCTCCCTCTGAACTGAGTCAAGTCTATTTTTATGCAAAACCTGTTATAAAAAACCGAAAACGCAAAATTTAAGAATCTCTTTTGCACATTTTTTCACTTATCTGTTTGATAAAAATTGTAAAATTAGTCGCTTTATAATCAAGACCTGTCGATTTCTTTTACAAACCAGTTGAAAAAGAAATTCAAGCAAATAAAATTAGCGTGGTTTACACGGAAATACTTCATTTATCAACTCATAACTGCATATGAGATATACGTCTATGGTGATGGAACAAAGTGAGATAACAATAATGTAATTAATAATAATAATAATAATAATAATAGAAAATGCAACAATAATCTAATTTACGTTACATTAAAACAATAATAACATGAGTTTTATATCTGTAATTAATTGCTTGCAACAGAGGATTTCCGCCGTGCGGTATATGTGTGTTCCGGCCATAATCTCAAACCACACCTCGTTCATACGGTGTTTCAAATTTTCGATGATGATGGAGATGGCTTCCTTTCCTATAAAGAATTTATTGCGATCATGCGCGACCGTCTACATCGTGGCTTAAAGGTTTGTTTGATGTGTTCGCACGAGGTTGACGTGTTAATATACCAAACAAAATATTAAATATTTTCGAATAATTTAGATATGTAATCGGAATCATTGGACACTATTTATAATGTGTTTAGTACCTAGACTAATTGCATCATAATCAACTTCTCCAGAGCCTTCGCATCATATAATGTAATTATTTTCAGCAAACGCGGAAGCAGAAACCCGTACATTCAAAGAGGATTTCAGACATAACCTAAATTTTATGATTATTTTTTAAATCTTCTAGTGCTAATCAGTATACGTTATTGTTTGTGATAATTTACGGTTCGCAGTCGTACTTTTGCGCTTTCCTGACGCTAGTTTTACTTATCCGTAATTGGCATTTTCAGGCCCAGCTAGGTCCAGCCGACGCATGGGAAGCTTTCAAGAGTTGCGTCAAAGATGAATTGCGGTATAATTAGATCGTTCTGAGCTAAGGCAAATCTCTATAACCCTACGGCCTGGAAAGAAAACACGACACCAACTTAACAGATATGAAAATAAAACAGAATTCGAATCGACCTAGAATTATTGCATCCAGGAAGACTGTATGGCTTTATCCTATACCAATAGGATTCAAGAGAAAAAATAACCACATATGATGTATTTAGCAATCATAATGTAAATGAGACGAAACCTTTAATTTACTTTTTAAATAATATTTATATCTATAAATTTTGGAAACAAAAATTCCCAAGTCCTTGCATTTTATTTCAAATGAATGTTCACAAAATTTCAAAAACAAGAAATCGCGAATTGTACACGGTTACAATCCCTGGGGCTTTCTCTTGATATTCCTGATTCTCCGTAATAGATTCATCATTAATTTCTAGATTTATCTGCAAAATTTACCTAAAGTTGGTAGTTAATTAAAGATTAACAGTAAAAAATAAGGATTAGTTTTTCAGTTTAAATCCAATAGTGGACAAACTTGCGCAGCAGAAGAAAAGAGAATTCAGTGGATAGGAAGATTTGGCTTACTTAAATACTATATTTAAGATAGCATCAAGTCCATAAGCTAATGAATTGACATCTCATCGCCGAGTATTTTTGAGTAAATCACGGCGATCGAAACTTATTGCCATTGTGAAATATGGTTGCATTAAGAGTAAGCTTCTTCTTTCTAAAGCGTTGTTTATGGTACTGGTAGCTTAATTTATCAAAAGATTATGGGCCACAACGCTAAAATTTCGATTTTTCTCATGAATAAGGTAATCCCTGATTTTTTTTGCCATAGATCATTTTAGAATAGATGTTTTTTATGCTTAGTTTACGAAACAAAAGTTGAAACAACACCGTCTGTTTTTTTAACAAAAACGCTAAAAAATTAAAGAAAAAAATAGGTACAATATTGTTTAATTAGCTGCTGAATGTTTGCATGAAATACAGGAGTACGGTAGGAAGCATAGAAAGCGCGAATAATGCACTAACTGGGACAAATGAACTCAATAAGTAAAAATTAGAACAAAAAAACACAACAAGCTCTAAAAATTGCCACAGGTTAATAGATGCTGATCATATCTGACAGGAAAGTCGTGTACTAAAGTGTGTCAATTACAGGTGCCAGAGGAGCGGTAACATTAGTCAAGCAAGTTTCGGGTCGCTGAGCACGATGTTAGAAGACAAAAGCAATTATTATAATGTCTATATCCGGTTTGTAATATTGTTCTTTTTCATATTCGTTTTCTCTTGAAAAATTTGAAAAATTGTTGTCTCGCCTATCTGAGCATTATAATTTTTTTTATGGAACTCTTTGCATTCGCATCACATACTACGCATCATGTGCGCTGAACCCTTTTCGCAGTCAATAAAACACGGAGACTAAAATACTAATATATTTTAGAATATTCCATAAATGAAGACTAGACAACGATTATACGTAATGGTGATAATATATGGGCTTGAAGCCTAAGGTGAAATCAACAAGCGCATGAGGTCTTTCTTGTTGAAAGACGGCGCTATTCATCCTTCAAATAAACTGGTGCAAAGCTTTTATAATTCAAACAAATATCGTCTTTTTGGTGTGACGCTTGGTTAGCTTAGTAACGGGAAATTTTGCGCACACTTGGATGTTGCGTTGGTAAATTTTTGTGGAGATAAACTAAGATGTCCCGCTGACATCTGCCATTTTCTACTTCCAGTAAAGCAGTAAAACGTATTTAGAGATTATCAAAGGAATTATTTGCATTAAAAAGAGAATCTCGTTTATAGGTAAACGTATGGAAAATATGTTTACATCAACCTGGCATACAAACTGTGTCTAATTTTGTATTTGTAAAATAAAGAGCTTCTTTTCAAACGTCAAATGTTTCGAAAACTTCGTAAAAGTAGAATTTTACTTTTTGCGCCCCGAACAGCACATGACTACTGCCATCGCTATTCGTGGGCTTGGGATCGATAAAGGGCGTTGTCTAATGCATGACAAATGAAATATTGACTGTCAAATCTTTTATAATATATTACGGAGTAACTATTGTAGATAATTTTAGAGCTTAACTTTGCATTGATAGATAACATTTATCTCTATTATACTTTCGGAAAAAAGGTATAATTACATGTAATTGCATTATATAACGAATACTTAGGATAGTTAGATACATATATAAGCTTTGTTAGACACATGAAAACTCTGCAAATAAGGAAAGTTAAAAAGCAAGTTAATTCGACGACCACTCCTGTTTTAAAATCAAATAAACAAGAACACTAAACGTCACTGGATGATCGGATCAGTTTGCCATATGTGTATTATGTTATACTTGATCAAAAGGTCGAGTTAACTATTTGTGCTTCTCCTAGATGGTTTTAATATCTTAGCTCATTTATCGAATACATTCCTTTGTAACAGTAAAACATTTTGAATGTTTAACAATATGTTCAAAAATGTTATTGAAAAGTAGAGTAAGTGAAAATCAACATTTTCGGAAAACGTCAGTTAACAATACTCGCTTTCGACGTACTTCAAAACATAGCAAATGGAAAGGTGGTTACCTATAAATGAGAGGAAGCTGGAAGGGTAAGTGTATGGTTATGGCAATCCTTATATATATAGTACTTACTATTATACAAAATTGAATTAAGCAACGTTAAAGGTAACAGCTTATCTGCTAAGCCTTAAATTGGTGTCAGTGAGTCAACGCCCCTGTTTAAAGTTTAAGCTCCAAAGTTTAAGCCTGAAAAAAAGGCAAGTGCTCACATAAGAGTTATTAAGAAGAGATAAACCTTCAAATAAACTTCCATTGTTACACAAACGCTGGCTATAGACGATAGGGCTTCAGAAAATTTACAAACAGGCTTTTAACTTGATAACTAGTTCCTTCGATACTGGGGTAGTTAGGTCTTCTACTTACTTTGGAATTATTTAAAGTCAGTCAGGCAAATTTGTTCTAGCTACGTGACGTGGATTTCAAGGGACATTTATGCTAACTCTGTAAGCTTTTGATAACGCTAATTATCTTTAGTATTTAATTTCTTGCTTACTAAGATAGAGTCTGCACAATAAAGGCTTCATCGATTCGCAGAAATGCCGAAGAGAAATTAAGAAAAAAAGACACACGCCTAATTTAAGTAGGGCTATCAATATTATATATATATAATATATATAATATATTATATATATAAATATATATTCAAATAGAGCACCAAAATAGAAATGATCGCCAAAGCTGCTAGGTGAGCAGAACAGGAAAGAACAGTCCCCGGATTGTATGGTTAAAAAACAATTAATACTGCATGTACTACAGATTTGCCACGCATCGCTTACTGATCATTTACAGCAGTAGTCGTCTTGTAGAAGGAACAACGAGGTTATCTTCTACAATAGCTGGCGCAGTTGGAGTAGATACCGCTATAGAAAAGGGGTATGTCCAGAATTTGATGGCAAATATATGTGCGTAACCCAATAGACCAAAAATAGAGTTGCCGTAATCGCAAAAAAGGGGATGCTAACGAAGTGATAGTCCGATAGTTTCTATGATCACCAATTAAGCTTAACTTAAAATTTGCATCTATTGTTACCGTTATCAGTGTCTTCGTCATTGTACTTTTTAATTATTAATACTACTGCATTTAAAATATAGTAGTATATAGACAACCCAAATATAAGCATAAGACAAAATGAGCAATTATTTCATAAAGGGAGCGTCACACACCTCAATGATCCATAGTACTCCTTGCTTCCGTAGCAGGACACACAGTAAGTCGTTCGATAACAAATTCACACGTTGGCTGTTGGAACTATTATCATGTAGTAATGCGTCGTAGTAGTGATTCTTGATTTTAATTTACGAATTTTCGACCTGTGATATTTCTGAATGTACGTGCATTTAACGAGTATGTAGAATTTTATGCATACAAGGTGTTCCTTTGAACTTAAACTCCGCAACGAAACTTCGTAAAGGCAAATGATATATCCAGAAGAAATAAACGCTATTATAACACTAAAGGGATATACATGTAGCACCCGAGTGCAGCTACAGAGCCGCGAAATAAACATACGGTTATATACATAATAGTTTAGGATAGCAAATTCGAATTTTTCAGTTTTTTTTAGAAGATTTATACTTTTATTTACAATCGAAATTTAAACGATCTTTCTATTAAAAGGTTGTGGAAATTTTAAAAAACTATCAGAACTATGTCTGGTAATTGTAGTTACTAACAGAGAGTCTCGTGTTGAAATTCCTGTATTTTTGCAATCATAATCTTCACGGTGTTAAATTGAATGCTGTCATGCGATAGGTTGAACTCTGTTCACGAATCCTGGCTGCCTAATGTAAAGCTTGTTCACTACGTCCTTCGATTACTGAAGGTATACTTAAGCCATAATAGATAAACCAGAATTCATAAAGCTATAGTAGCCCAAATAAATACTATTTTGTGGTTGCGTATTTGCTTTATGGTGGTCTCCCGCCAATTTAATAGCAATTATTCACTAATTTACCGCTTCTGTCAATCGTGAAAGATAGTTTTTCATGACAAGTCATAGTTTGACATAAAAGGGTTGTTGTAGCATGATAACAATGCAAAGGTCTGTACGTATTCGATTTTTATCTTCGCTCAAATTAGAGAGCATCAATTCATACATTTGTCTACCTTAGTAATTTAACTGAAATATGAATAATATTTTTGCACACATCAAATTTCCTTGCGGATTGAAATGGGTCGGCGTCGATCATCGCCCTCAACACGTTGTTTTTAACCTTATCTAGGTTTTCTATGAAACAAATTTTCGACGTCACAGTTTCTCTCTTATAATTTTTAGGACCAACCGTTCACGCTTTTCTTAATGCTAGCTACTTACTCTAATGCCGCCCAGAGAGCAGCCCAGTCATGTTGCGAACCGCCCTAGGGAGTCTCGCAGATAACCGATCTATATGTTGCTGTCTTGCTTCAGGTGTGTTACGTATCCTCTTCTCATTAATGCTATGATTATTTTTCGTTCCCCGACAAACGGTGCGTAGTATTCCGCATTACTCACGTATAAGGACAAGGTTGCTATTGGATCTGTATCCGAAGACCGATTAGGCCAAAACCTTGAGTGGGATGAAAGAGACTCGGAATGCTAATTGTTGTGCCGTTGTTTGCGTTATGACAATATATCAAGGATTGCCTCGTGATACCTATAGAATAAGTAAAATGACCTCAGTGTAGAAATGAAGACTATTAATAAAGCTTCAATATTAATTGGATAGTATTATATTAATATTAAATATTATTATCAAGATTAATACTAAATATTATTACTCAAAGAGAATCAAAACGAGGCGTGACTGAGAGAAGGCTTTTTCTCTGTGTACTATCCCTGGATCAGTACCGTTGACCATTAAATGTTACTAAAGTGTCACCAAATTAAGTAGTCGCAAAAGTGATTAGCTGTAATATATTAGTTTATTCACTTTTCCCTTACTCAGTGCCCCTAGTCTTCTGTCCGAGATGCATGAAAAGATCTCTGTCAGTTCATAGTACCACAGCAGAATTTATATATATAAAGAAATTCTTAAATATCTGGAGCATTATATATATATGTCATCTGAGAATTTATGTAGTAAGCAAGAGGGAAGCCGCATTATGACTGAGATTGCAAACGGAATCCTAGTGTAAGGTTTGTTTGTATAGGGGAATACCTAGTTCGATATCATTTACTGACTGTTTCAGTACCTTTCAACTTGTGATAGAAATTGAATATTCCATCATAAAATCTTAGCGTATACATGTGATGACTGCGACGTATTCAATGCCAGGCTTGTGGGTACATCCATTAGACTTTTTGCAGGAGAGAATTATTTTTTTACATGTATTAAGCCGGATCTAATACGAAACATTGTACTGTCAAAAAACGGCCTTATGTAAGTTAATGTAATTCGTTAAATTGGCTGTACCCATGTTTTTCTAGGCTATTAAAAAAATGTTTGCATATATCAAATTATATATGAAATTTACACTAAGATTTGAACATAGCTCGGCAGCTCTTTTCAGGTAGCTGTCCATAAAGATATTGTTGAAGGCGGTTCCGCTATGAACCGACAGTTAGTCTGTGCTGGCTCGAGTTGTCGTTTAATCGTGCCTATGGTTGTTATTGTTATTCTTATAACGGCAGCATTAAAGACAATCATAGTGAGCACCACAACTACTACTGGAAGGAAGCTGCCAGTGTCCCGTGCTAGCGCACATGGCTTACAGAGAAGTCGAAGTGAATAGTAATAAGGTGGGAAAGGGGAACAGGAGAATTCGGGAGCTAGGCGGTCTCGAAGCGGGACAGATATAGCCAACACGTTGCGGGTTCAAAGAGAAGCAAGGCAACCGAATGAAAAAGCAGAGGCTGGTCTGATGAAGGGAGGACAACGATGACACAGAGAAACAGGCTATTTCTTCTAATTAGGCGTATCACGCAAGCCACTATAAGCTGACTTCGACATTCACATCTCCGATCTGTCGACTATCGTCAGAAAACTAATAGCGAAAGTCGACCCCCAGCTTATAACGAAGATGTAACCAACAGCCCAGTTGCTATGTAAGTGAAGCTCTTTTGTAGAAGTCTTTTGTGAAGCGATAAAACCCATTTCTTATGTTCCAATCTATTACAGCAATAAAAAATCTGTTCATATCCAAGGCCTTAGGGTAAACGAACTGTTTGCCCTGATTATTGCATAAGATGCCAAAATTAGAAAAAGTTAAGAAGCACGTTTGTGCTGTGCAAAACGAGCTCGCGATGAGACGAACTTATAACATGGATCCACCCATTCATGTCATAAAATCGTGTTTTGACTAATATAGACCATGAACATTTTTCGATATATTTCAATGGGCTAAGTAGCTCCTAGAGAATTTAGCTATCATTAGTTAGGTGACGCTCCTTGCGCGTAACTGAAACAGACAACTTTTTCATTAGATTTTTAGTACTATGTATTCAACTTGAGTCCAAATCAGTCCAAGGTTTACTTGAATAAGCTTAGTATAAGCGGAGTTTTGTAGTGGGACGATTTCAGGATTTATAGACGAAGATATATGGAAAAAGCGACCGGAACAAGAAATGTTCCGTGAAATATGACAAAATCAGGCCTAACTCTTTACAGCCGTGCCCATGTAAAAAGGCATCGGTGACAACAGAAGAACTACTTAAAAAGCATGAATTTTGCTTTCCCGCCTTAGAGTCTGCTTAAATTTAATTAAATCTAATTAAACAAAACAGCTTCCACAATTAAAGCATTCACAGGAGTTCAAAACTTCGACATTCGAAAGACACCTGGTTGGCGCCGTTGTACATGTGCAATGGTGAAAACTGGTAGAACAAGTCAGCTCTGCCCAGATGGCCTTGAGGGTCCTTATGAGCATAGAATAGCTATTCACTAACAAGGATCCTCCACTGAAACACCTGCCAATTTCGGAAAATTTACGGTTTCGGTCTTAGATTATTCCATGTGGGTTAGTACTTCAGTAGGCAAACGTGTTATCCCTGCAGCCTACTATATCTAGATAACAGGGGACCTTCCCTGGTCGTATTTCTTTCATTGAAAAGGCAGAGGTAGTTCTTAAAAAAGCCGAATGTGCAAATGAAAGTGACTTCGCAACACTGTGATCAAATGATGTCTTTGAAAATCGCAGTACTTGACTGAGTACTGTTAAAATCGAACCAGTACAAACGACGATATATCAAGTTCGGTGTGAGGGAACGAGACTGCCGAAAATTCCTGCGCAACGGTTTGAGAATCTTCTTGCTGTCACCATCCACATCCAGTTTAAAAATGTCTCTGGCTATCTTTTGGCTGCAGAACAGGATGCTCAAAATTCGATGTATATGATCAATTAATTACTAAGGAGAATGAACGAATATATCTGAATATTGTCTTTCGCAGGATTTACATAATGCAATCTTAACTGGATCGATAATAGTTACAAAGAACAGTGTATGGATAACGCATATGTATTACTTTAATAAACATTCAATATAAACTGTCTAATGAAAATCTACAAACAACAAGCAAAGGAAAAATACTTCCTTTGATTGAAAAATTATGTTTTCGATAACGACGAAAATTTGTCTTTTTCCAAAAAACATGCTAATATTTTACGTCTCATGAAAAGTGTTTTTCCTAATAAATAGATTATATGGAAATATAAAATCTTTCGATTAGTTTCTTTGGTTAATTAAAAATACACGATTGGAAAAATTATATTCAAATGAAAGTATGGACAATACATTTGTTGTTCGAAGTGTCTATTTTTTTATCAGTTATGTGAATTGTATATTAAAAGAAATCAATAGAATGGTACTGTAATTTTCAAAAAACGGGAGGTCACACTTTTTTTAGAACTGGTAGCAACCTGTGGTCGGTTAATACGTATTTAGTCGAAACTGTAGAGTGTAATATATAATGGTTGAAAACCATTACCAGCTTAAGCTCAATCAGATATTAATGAGAGCTATGGTAGGCGAATAATGGTCTTTAAACTATCTAGTTTTGCACTAAATAATTTCAGTATTGTCTTTCCAAACCTAGTTCTAAGTAAGTTTTCCTTGCTAAATCATTAATGGCCTATATCGCCTTAAAAATTAATCAGATGCTGTAAACTTTTGTTAGCGGTCTTTCGCAAACACACTTGTCCAACCTAGATTTCATAATCAGATAACCCGTTTTTTTAGTAAAAAAAAAGTGCAAGTCTTATGTACAAAGATACTACGCTATCCACAAATTTATTCATGGGGAACTACGTTTTTAAAGGTATAAAAAAAAAAAAAGAAAAGCATGTGACTTTAGAAGCTCGAATGGCCGCAATCAGTTTTTGTCATCAGAACATTTTCATGATATCATTCTTATGACTCACGCAGGACACAGTTCTGGCCATTTAAATATTAGACGATGATATATACGAGAAGGCTTCAAAAACGTAATACTAATTCATTCGTATTTGAGAGGTTCAGATGTGCACCAGTTAGATTAGTACTAGTGTGGTTAAAGTAGTGGAAGATTTGTGTACCGCATAAGTCTTTTAACGGTAAACTTCAACGGTCTATCGTCAATATTGAAATCTAAAACAAAGGCTGTGCTCTTATTATGCCAAAGCAACTTTACGTTACAAAATGATTTGTTTTAAATTGATTCTATTCTAAATGCTTTTATTTGAAAAAGGAAGAGTTTAATATTATGGAATATCTTATGATACTTTGTATATACCTGATAGTCCTGGCAAGGTAGCATTATAATCGGTTCTACAGTTGCTCTTTGTATGACTACAGTCGGCGGCGGCGGAGGTGGTAGAAGACGCGGGGGTATTCCGGCAGATGACGTGCTTCAAACCCAAGGAATGCCACGAGTTACAGAAATAGGAGTTGGACTCAGCTGACGGTGAACTCATACACAGAACTTCCGTCCGAAGGTGAACAAGGAAAGATATATGGTTCTCGACCTGAGAGAAGATATTGAATTAATGTACTAAAATGTCTACCGCTGATAACGAAAGTACCGATTTTTAGATGACGTTCGATCACTATGCTACATAATTGACGATCAACAATTCTGTGACGTACATGTACATACTCCTGAGTACCATGTGCATATCATCACTAGAGTCAACTGCTAGTATTCTGGTAATCACTACAATAAAGATTTTATATGACAGTCGAGATATGGCGGGATGCTATGAAAACAACAAAATGAATATAACAAACGTTAAAAAGTTCACAAATAAAGTAGCGATCGAAATTCTGATGAAGAAGAAACAGCCAAAATAAGAGATAGTTTTCTGCTTGGTTGCTGAAAGGAACCCGCAATGATATTGTCTGTTATCGTTAGCTCGAAGTTGGACAATTACGCTCAGAACGTCTTATTAACGATAGTCACAAATAATACAATTTGGATAAATAAAGTAATTTCGAACCACTTCAATCGCTGCTTTAGTAATCGAATAACTCGTTACAATACAAGGATTCACCATAGCAACAGTACTTAGCTACACAACGCTGACATGCTCAAAAAACTTTTCAGATCTTATTGCGAGTGAGATTCAGCGAAAATGATGTTATGTCTATGTATACTATGCCATATTCGCTTAAAATTGCTAATGACATGTAATCGCAGGACACTTAGTTTGGTAGTTTTGTGTCGTCATACTTTATCTCACTCTTGGAATATAATTAATACATCACACTGTTTAGTCGCTGTCTTTTGTCGTTACTCGAACACGTTGGGACTCAGTCACCGTGATCAAGATTAGTCAAGTAGTGTGACGTATCCAAGCCGCAAAAGAAATAAAATCATCTGTTGTCTGTCATAACGTTGTCTGTCATGTGTAACATTCCAGTCGTATACTTAGACAACAACAGTATATTTTGTTTGCAACTTTGCAAATGAGAGCTCTCTACCAGCACATCTAATAAGAAATAAGAAAAATTTAATTTCGATATTATCGCCTGCTATTGGCTTATCATTACGTAAGTGCATTTCAAAAATGAGGGGTTCATCTTGATGAGGTTCGATGGCGGTTCCTGATCACCTAGTGCCGCTTCTAACAATATAGATCACGGTGATATCACTAACTCACTGTTGGAAGCAGTGATACCCTCATTCACGTAGTAGACTGCTTCGACTGGCTTCGGAAAGCGCTGCTATAACTAAAGCGCCAGCGTTATTCCTTATATGATATAAAATATGTGTGCTATAAGTTGCTATTTACACATGTTACAAGAGTTTAAAATTAATTAACACGTACCGAACGCTTTTACAAGTATGTTTTTTATTCATTTGAGGCATTTATATCGAATTTTTTTAAAACCCGTACGCTGAAAAGATAATTTCATTTTTGAACAATTTACTATAAGAGGTTGAATGTTTTGTGCCATATGTTGTTTGTATTTTCCTGTATAGCATATTCAATAATTGGTGCACTCTATCCTTTGAAGACATTGTCCTTGAAGCAGAGTATACTGTGAAGTCGTTTGGTTGGAAGGTCACATCAAAAATATCATGCATTTATGTCAGGTCACGAAATAGAATTATCCATGTTTCTCTTGTTCTAAATATTTATAAGGCATTTGAGAAAACGAAGACTGAAGTCCAAACATTTCGCAAACTATAATCTCTTTTTATAATTATGACTTTCAGTTAATTGTCATTGAACATGTAGCTAAATTAATAAGTAATACTTAAAAATAAATAGAATTACAGATTAATATTTTTAAAATAATCAGTGTCCAAGATCCCTTGTAGAGGATGATTAATTCAATAGTTTTCCTGTTCAATTATTTTTCTTCTTGAAGGGAAAAGGAAATTCGAATGAAAACGCTGACAGCCGAAGAGGTAAACGAAATTCCACAAAAAGCCCAAGAAAAAACTTATTAATGCGTGTTTCATCTAACGCAATTAGAAACCTGCTAATTAACTTTTTGCAAAGGTTAATGAGAAAATGTCGTTTACGGATCTCAGGCCTTAGATCTAGGTTTTTGTCACGCTGGTATGGAACTAAATTCTCACCCTTTTCTAACTATAATACGCGCTAAGTTCAAAGCTTTCTCTATCGCTGGTCCTACAATTGTTGTATTTATTCTATTATTATTTAAAAAAAAAACATATTTACATAATATTTGTATTTATGTCCTTTATATCACACGACTTATATTCTGTGATTCGATATTTTATTTCAAGAAACAAGCGAATGCAAAACGGATGTTAGGCTTTGTTATTTTACAGGATTGTCTACTGAGGTCTAATATTTATCATAAGAAACTCAAAACTTACCCAGACCACTCGAAAATTTCGCATTGTGCGAACACACGCCCTTTCTGTCCTCCGTGAATACTCTCATTACTCTGAGCTTTTCTCAAATTCGGAGTAGGTTCTAGGTCTTCCAAACTATCACGTGTCGCTACCAGACCATCTATCAGTAATGGATTCAGAAGCGCGAGGGATGCATTAATAAAGAGAGTAAATAAGCTTTCAAAACCCTCGGAAAATTATTGTGAAGAGAAAAAGTAGACGTTTAAATAAATAGATAGATATAAATAAATAGATAAATCTGATATACAAGTGGATTTAAGTAAATCACCTCGCACTGTTAAACACTGCACAGTCACAAGCACCATCGATTTCAATACTTTACGCCATCTCAGGGGCTACCTGCCCCGAATAGCATTGCAAAGCATAGCCACTTGCCTAGGTATATATTGAGATGTGAATCAACGCAATACTTGGCTCCGAATAATTAAATAGCTTGAAACAATGGGCAGACAGAAAGAGTCAGAGCATGCTACTCCAAAACTGGGAAATCGGTTCTGGATAAAATTTCAGAGGTTCAGCCAGGGTTCACAGAAATAGCAGATGTACTCCGTGACTATGGAGTGATTGGATACAAAATAGCGCGACGAATACGAGGAATGCTGGCAACTGCTTGGAAGATTAAAACAGCGATCGAAGAATAGATAAAAACGCTTTAAGGAACACGGCAAGGATAGGTTGAAACTTGTCGACCTTGATTCTCTCACTGAGCATTACGTTTGTTAGCCGCTGATGATAAGAATTGGGTTAACTTTACTGTTCGTTTGATGGATTGGGCATAGGGAAGTACCGGGATTTACCAATTACTATATAGCGAAAGCAAGTAGAATAGCATTACCGACTTTGGCGGCTCGACAAAACTTAAATTTTGCTGAACAAAATCTACTATCTGTCTCTATGACTATCATAGGTGACCCACAGGCAACTCTGCATTCTATCAGGATTGTGGATCCTTTAGATCCACATACAAGCATGATATTAGCGATTGGCGCTTGCCTGCAGCTGATAAAGCAAAGCATATTGCTGCAATGGATGCCTGCTCACATGAAGATTTAAGGAAAAAGACGGGTTGACGATTCATGTGTAGTATCGTATTGGGAAGTAAGTTGATCACAGAACGCACCAACCATAAAAAACTAATTGGATTGGTAAACCCAAACGAACTTTGGCGGGGAGAGATATTTGCAAACAAAGCACCATTCATGTACAGGGCACCCGCGGAACCGTTGCAACCACTCATAAGCCACGATGTGGTAAGGCACTCATGAACAGCTCACTATTTAAAATATAAGCTAAAATCAAAAGCCTATGCAACGTATGCAAAGAATACTATGGAGGTATACATGTACAAAAAAATGACTAGTAAACACAGAGTGGTGTAAGGACGTAAATGAGAGCCAAGGAAACGGATAAAATCTACGCGATACATTTTAGGTGAGTTATAGAAAACTCTTGTTAACTTCATTATGCAAGGTCCTTATGTCCCAATGTCCCAGATATGATGTCCTATTCAGTATGATTAGTGACAAATAATAATGACATGTAAATGCCTAACGATGATTCTTCGAGATAAAAATATCTTTAATACGATTATCAGACAAAAATGAGTATACAATTAAGCATACCTGATCTAATATATTGATAAATTAATATGACGCAAAGACAGTAGTAATAATGAACTCTAGCTCTTTGATCTGAAACCCTTTATACAAAAGAACGCATAAAAATATATTGTCATTTGATAGAATAGTGAAGCACCACTCTACTTAAGCACTTCATTTATGACACTTATACAAAAATGCCTAATTTACTAGTAACGGAAACATTATTTCCGCAAATGCGTGGTGCAATACACAGGTTTTCAACAGAAGCCATTGCTTTGTATGTTAATAACGTGTTTTAAAGTTTGCCCACAACAAGTTCTTTAATAATAATAATAATATTATTCACGATAATAACGTAAAAACTTAGTACGATGCAATAACAGCAGTCGATACAATATTTTGCTATCATAGTCATCACGTACAGACATAACTATGTCTTGTTTTACCAACTGTTCAGCTGCGGTAAATAGTTCATTAAAACAGTACTTTATATGCCCCGGAGAACAACGTAACACTGCATTATTTCACACACTCTTTCGATGGCTCCTGGAAACTTTAAAATAAGCTCGGCTTGATCAATATTGTAAAGAGAATTCCCAGCAAAATTTAAGAATCACCTTTAAAAGCTCCCTTTTCGTAAAAGAATAACTTCTCCTTGGCTTCGATAGGTCACGCAGTGAAATGTAAACTATGTAAAATAAGTAAACTTGCTGACTCTGTCAACTCAACAAAGAGTAGAAGTAGGCTATTTTTTTAATCTCTAATAAATAGGCCAATCAGAAACGAAAAGTACAAATTAAGTCATTAATTTTTTTAAATTCATTTGCACATTTTGTTAGCTTTGAAGGTTATCGTTTATTGTGAATCAGCAAATAAACAATTCACGATCGAAGAATGAGTCAGATCTATTTAATCGATTTCGTATAAATTAATCTATCACCGCATATACAAAAATCAATCGTATGCCTCGTCTCCCGTTGTTTAAGGTCTTACGAATACCCCAATGAAGACAATATGAAAGAAACACGACCGTTTACCACTTTGATGGGTTAACTTCAAAGCCATTTCTCCAAAAGTAAGAATCATTGTTCACATTCAGGTAACTGAATTACCAAATTCAGCGTGGTACCTGCCAGCGACAAATGCTTTATGTAACCTGAATTTGATATGTTCAAATTCAGGTTACATGGAGCATTCAAAAATGTTTTTAAACTTCGGTGTGTGAGGTCAAAGATTAACTGAAATATTCACTTGTGTCAAAAAAAATGACCAACTCTTTCAACAACTTGCACTGATTAAAACAGAGTCGTACGACCGTTGATTAAACTACTGCTATGCTGTTAGCCTAATGTTTTTATTCAGTCTAATATTATAAGATAACGTACCATAAAGTTACTATAGTTCAGTAGAAATAAATGCATTACTTATTGTGTACATATAAAATCATACCAATGTTTATAACAGGGACAATGCATTCTTCGTCAACTGGAGATGAAGCTGTTCCACCAGCAGTAGGTGTTGAAACCTTTTAGGGATGCACATGTTGTTTATCTTTGTCGGTATGACCCTGTAACATGAATTAGCACATGAATTAGCATGTCGACAAACACACGAACATAAATAATGATTTTAAAGAGAATGCCTTTTAGTTGTAGAAATAGTCAAACATGTATAAATCGATTCTTGATTTAGAAATGAACAAATTAATAAAAATAATTTTTTATTACATTCTTTAGAACAGATAAGGGTATTTCACTATAGTTTACTATCGGTCTAATACAAGTGTTTAACGTTGAGGAAAGGAAA